ATTCTTGTGTATACATACTGGGTATCTGAATCTAAAGGGAATTTGAGAAAAAGAACCGAGTTTGGGCGAATTGGGGCTAGAAAATGAAGAAGAAAATTAGTCGGCAAATCTGGGCACTAGCTCCACGTCGCGGACCTACTCCTTAGATTTGGGAAAAGTCATTTTGTATCGCGGAGCGGTCATGGACCGTTCTGCCTCAAAAAGTATTTTCGTGACCAAAATTTAAATACTTCTCCACGTCGCAGACCCACCCTCAGATAATGATTTTTTGATCTTTTCTCATGTTTAGCTATCTAAAATCATTCCTAAACATCATGATATCTTTCCTATCACAAATCATAATCCTTGAATCCATAATTCAATTCAAGGAAAGTTAAGAGTCAAGTCAAGAGAAGTTCATAAAGTTTTCCAAAAGTCTTTTACAAATGTTTTAACTTTGTTTTAAGACTTAAGTTTTGAGTTGAGTTAAGAGTAAAGTTTGACGTTCATTTCTTCAAAAGAGTATATCGGGACTATGTATTCCCAAAGAGTAAATGTTTTCACATTTAAACAAGAATGAAATTGAGATTTTCAAAAGAGCATTTGAGCTAGTTTTCAGTAAAGAGTAAGAGTAAAGTTCATTCTTCAAAGATTATTCTGGAACTAAGTATTCCCAAGAGTTAAAATGTTTTCACATTTGAACAAGAAAGGAAACTGAGATTTCCAAGAGAACTTTTAAGCTAAGTTTTTGAGTAATTATCTCAAACCAAAGAAAGAGTTTTGTTTTTACAAACATATGAGCTAAAGTATATTTTGGGAGTAGTATTGAGCATCGATATGGGGACGAGCTTGAGTTCAGATAACTCACGTCTCCATAAATCATGTAGCCATCATGGTAGTAAAGGATCATACTTTTTTATTATGACTCCTTAAGATACTTTTAGCATAGACTAGTGGATCCACTAAGTTAAGCGTTCTATATGACGGCAAAGTATAGGATAGTTTTGGCAGCGTGGGCAAGACGTTGTATCACCACTTAGGCTCATAGTGGTGATTTCGGTTAGAGAAACTCCCACATAAACTATATTACTTTATTATATGAGTAAAGTTGAGTTTGTTATTGCATTTTCTTTAACGAACTAAGTTGTTTTCTACTGTTTTAACGGCTTTCTATATGTTGCATGTGTTTTATTGCTTTATATTGAGCTAAGTTATTTAGGAGTTGAGTAAAACCAAGATAAGTGTTTCTTTCAGATTCTTTTCAAGCTTAAGTTATGTTTAGCATTTCAACTCGCATACTTGTACATTCAATGTATTGATGCCAGATGGCGTGCATCTTAGTATGATGCAGACGCAGGTAATCAGGATTACCATCCAGCGTCTCGTTGATCCAGTTGAGCACTCAGAGTCAGTTGGTGAGCCTCCTAGATTTTCGGAGGATCCTTTTATTGCTTTCAGTATTTTAGTTCATTAGGATGTCGTGGGTCTTGTCCCGACGTCCATCTCAGTTGTTTAGAAGCTTCATAGACAGAGTTAGTGATGTTAGTTCATGAGTCTTTACTTTTCCTTTTCAGTTAAGTTGAAACTTGAGTTGTCACTTTGGTAGTGTGTTATTATAATACATTCTAAGTTATATTTTGAGCAGTTCCGTTTACTTGTTTAACAGTGTTTATCTTGAGTAAAGTCTTCCGCTGAGTAAGTAAGCCAGACTAAGGGTTCGCTTGGGGCCATCAATGGTTCTCGAGTGTCGATCCCGTTAAGGGTGTAGGCTCGGGGTGTGACATCACTTGAATAGGTTTACTAGTTTAGAGAAGAGGAATTAAAAGAAATAGGCTATGTTGAAAATGAGTAGATTTCTAAAGTTTCTTCCATTTATTTTTTTCTTACAGGGAGAAAAGAGCACTTTATCAACCATATGACCGATCGGTCAAGGTTACCTCTATCTATGGTATCATTTTCTTAAAATAATAATGAAACACAAAAGTAAAAAGTTATTAATAAGGAAAAAAACTTACTTTAGCTTTTCGACGTTTTGTATAATGCGAAGTTGTAATTTAAACTACTATGAAATATGAATTAAATGCTAAAAAAAAAGACAGTTAATAGCAAGACTCTTCGAGATGATACTTCTAGTCCTACAATAACAATTTAACAAAACAAACAAATAAATCTCATATGATTAAGTCCAATAGGCCTCACAATTTTTTCTCTCGAGCGGTGTTGTCATCAAACACACCTTTCATATAAAATTATGCTTTATTTTATAATATTCTTTGGTTTCCATTTTGATATGAAATATGCGTTTTTCTTTAGATACTTGTCAGCCTAGAAATATGTCAGTCGTTCTTTTCTACTCGTCCTCCTAATTTTTCTAGATAATACCTTGTATTAAAACTTTATGATAAAATTAACTTTAAAGCATTTTATCAAATTTCTTTTGTAAAGAGAAATCTTACACTTTGTTTGTATGGTTGTTATTAGGGGCGGATTTAGAGGAAACTGAAAGTGTTCATCCTAGCCCTCTTGACAAAATATTACATTCTATAAGTAACTTTTTATAAAAATGTAAATACATAGGTTTTGAATCGCCTAAATACAAAAGCAAATGTTAGATTATTGGTTTAGGAGTTCAAAATTCACTTTCCGCTATTAAGTTCAAATCTCAAAACACTATTTTTTTCCCGAACCCCTTAATGAAAATTATGAATCGTCTATTAATTATTACGTATTATTTCATAATATATCATATTGTATCATATTCCATCATACTGTATTCTTTAAATAAATATAATGTTTGGATAAATTGTACCATTTTCCATCGTTACATAATGCCACACATCGATAATTTGAAAGATAAACCTATAAGAAAAATTGGATATACAATAGAGCTACTATAAAAAGATAAAATAAAATAATAAATAAAAATAAAATATTTAAATAACTCTACAATCACACAAAACCAGTCATTACATAAAATGAGATTATTCATGTTATCTAACATGAATTTAACAATACAATACTATATAATAAGTAACAACTAACCCAACAAAATGTTAATAACTCAATTAGTTACATGAACTTTCACATTGCGGACCGAAAATTACTCTCCTAATCACCTTTCCTATTTACAATTAAAAAAAAAAAACAGCAAATTCATTTGGTAGCCATCCTTCAGACAACGCGTGTTGGAAAGCAGTGTCATTATTTTCATCTGTCCGAATTTCTCTTCTTCATCCATAGCCCATCTGAAGCTCCCAATTTTCAATTTTTTCATTAAATTTTACAAGGTGACTCTTTTTTTATGCTTTTTGGAATTTTTTCTTATAAAATATATGTACTTACTCTTTAATTTATCTGCTATTTTTTTCTTGATCTCCTGTCTATTTGGTTCACTTTTTTTTTTTATTATTGAGTATTAGAGGGGGGAAATGAAATGGGTATTTGGGAATGATAATCTTTCTCCAAAAAAAGAAAAACCCCCAAAATTATTGAGTATTAGAGAATGAAATGGGGTAAAGAATTAGAAGATTTATGTAGCTGAATCCATTTTTTGTGGGATTTTTGTTTGTTTGTTGTGGTACTACTGCTGTTGGGAGTTTACTGGGTGACAGTAGGAAGGGTTTAATGTCAATTTTGTTCTTTGTTATGATCTTGATATGATTTTTACGATAAAATTATGTTTGCTCTTTAGGGAAAAGTTGGGTTTTTTTCTTTTTGCTTGGTGGTTTAGATATTTGAGGGAGGGATAAACTATAAAGATTCTATCTGGGGGTTCTATTGGATTAGTTAATGAAGCCAACTTGAAAGTTTGGGTGGACTAGAAATGGGTGTCTTTAGTATTGTCTGAATTCATTGCTAAATGAAACATTTCGTAAACTATAAAGTTACTGTCTTGGAGTTCTATTGGATTTTTTTGTTAAAGATGCCAAATTGAAAGTTTGGGTGGACTAGAAATGGTGTCTTTGGTATGGTCTGAACTCATTGCTAAATGAAACATTTCGTAAACTATAAAGTTTCTGTCTTGGAGTTCTATTGGATTAGTTAAAGAAGAGAAATTGAAAGTTTGGGCGGACTAGAATTGGTGTCATTAGTATTGTCTGAATTCATTGCTAAATGAAACACTTCGTAAACTATAAAGTTTCTGTCTTGGAGTTCTATTGGATTCATTAAAGAAACCAAATTGAAGTTGGGGTGGACTAAAAATGGTGTCTTTAGTATTGTCTGAACTCACCGCTAAATGAAACATTTCGTAAACTATAAAGTTTATGTCTTGGAGTTATATTGGATTAGTTAAAGAAGAGAAATTGAAAGTTTGGGCGGACTAGAATTGGTGTCTTTAGCACTGTCTGAATTCATTGCTAAATGAAACATTTCATAAACTATAAAGTTTCTGTCTTGGAGTTCTATTGGATTCCTTAAAGAAGCCAAATTGAAGTTGGGGTGGACTAAAAATGGTGTCTTTAGTATTATCTGAACTCACTGCTAAATGAAACATTTCGTAAACTATAAAGTTTCTTTCTTGGAGTTCTATAGGATTTTTAAAGAAGCCAAATTGAAAGTTTGGGTGGACTAGAAATGGTGTCTTTAGTATTGTCTGAACTCACTGCCAAATGAAACATTTCGTAAACTATTAAATTTCTGTCTTGGAGTTATATTGGATTTGTCAAAGAAGCAGAATTGAAAGTTGCGATGGGCTCAAAATGGTGTATTCAGTATTGTCCGAACTCGCTGCTAAATGAAACATTTTGTAAACTATAAAGCTTCTGTCTTGGAGTTCTATTGGATTCGTTAAAGAAGCCAAATTGGAAGTTGGGGTGGGCTCAAAGTGCTGTCTTTAGTATTGTCTGAACTCACTGCAAATAGAAACCTTTTTTACTTTTTGAACAAGAAAGGAAAATATTTTTAGTTTCTTCGCTTGGTTATGCAACTGGTTGATTTGGCTATGAATTGGTGTGCTCTCATAGTGTCTTTTGCTAAGAGTTTATCTGGAACTGTAGTATAAATATATATCTTATAGATTCAAAGGTAGGGTTAAGGTCTGCATACATCCTACGCTCCTCAGACCCACTTGTGAATTACATTGGGTATGTTGTTGCTGTTGATTCACAGTATGAATTTCTGAAATTTGATGTCAAAGAAACACTGATAGAAGTTGCATATAAGAGGTACTATCTTGTTAGTGTAGTTTCCTTTTTTTTTCTTACCTAGTTTCTATGTGCAAATTTTCTGTTTTCTCTAGGGAGAATATGTAATTTTTTTCTTCTCATCTTACAGTAAAATTTATGCATTGTATGTCTGTTATAGATTGTGTTTTGTATTTTGATGACTTAAGTTGGAAGTGCATTGCGCTGCAATGAACTTGTTCATGCATTTATGATGCATTATCTGAATATCAAGAACTGTGTTGTGGTGATTGAAGTTAAGAGTTGATTGGTTAGAAGGAAATGGAAAGGAAGGAATGTAGCGGGTGACAAAGATAGTACAGTTTTAGTCAAAATTACTGTCTTATTCGGTATTTGCTTTTAATCAACACCTTAGTCTTCTGATATGGTCTTAGTGAGATTCTTTCGTCCAACTGTGCTGTACTTGTTGATACTAACTAGTATTGTTAGATTTTTATTAATGACCTAAGTTCCTAATTTGAATTTACAACACAGGTAATGGCAGTTGAGGAAGATATTGATCTTTCAGATTTGAAGTACCAACTGAGCCAAACACATGTTAGTTGGAAGCAAGAGATGGAGGAAAGCCAGTCCCAAGTTGAGGCCTTGCAAGAAAAACTATTAGATGTAAAAACTTGTATTCAGGGGTCAGAAGAAGATACAAAGAAAGAGTTAAATGTTCTTTGGAGCAGAGTCAGAACTGCTGCAACATTAATGATGTATTTGAAAACTAAAGCCAGAGTCATGGCTGTTCCTGATTTGGCCTCTACGTCATGCGGTATAAAAGAACTATATGGAGTAGGGCTTATAGATAAAAATGGTGTACCATTGTCCAGTTGGTCAAGGGACATAGATCTCTCGTCTTTTGATGATGCTGATGATGCAGCATTGATTAGACTTACAAGTACACAAGATTCTTTTGATGAACAAGATGGATCTTATAGGAGCGAATTACTCAGAAGTGTACAATTGGTTACATATGTTATGGAAAATCTTGTCAAGAGGGTTATAATGGCTGAATCTGAAACTGCTTTAGAGAAGGAGAAGGTAACAATAGGTCAGGAAGAGATTCAAAGAAGGGCACTTCAGATTGAAAACATGTCTACTAAGTTAGAAGAGATGGAAAGGTTTGCTTTGGGTACAAATTGTATCTTGAATGAGATGCGCCAGAGAGTTGAAGATTTGGTTGAAGAAACTTCTAGACAGAGGCAGCGAGCTGCAGAAAATGAGCAGGAGCTTTGTTGTGTTAAGAGAGACTTCGAATCTCTGAAATCCTATGTCAGTAGTCTCATTAGTGTCAGAGAAACTCTTCTGTCATCAGAAAAACAATTCCAGACAATTGAAAGGCTTTTTGAACGGTCAGTGTATCCCTTTCGCTGGTGAACAGAATTTCTGTTTTCATATAATGATGATATAGCTGTTTATTTATGTTCTCTGAATAATAATGGTCAGTGTGCCTGTGATGACAGAAGAGACTACTGCGTAATATGTTGCTTGATGATATGTCTTAATACTTGCTATGCAGTTTACCAAGAGTGTATACCTTTCAATATCTTATAGCACACCTTTCTGAATCAATAGGGTTAGAATCTAAGTATGCACCCAACATTGTACACATGTTTTCTGATCAAGTTATCAATTCATTTGAGACTTTGAATTTATGTCTAACCATTTTTTCCAGCCATATTCTCCACGACACCAGAATGTTATCTGGTGTAGTGGGTTATAATTAATTTGCAATGTCTTAATGTACAAAAACGATATAAAATGAAATGGATCACTTGGATTAAGAATGAGGAATCATCCTTTTTTTAGTGCAAAGGTTTTAAGGTTGAATATAGACTAGTGTTATGACATTTCCTAGGGTACAAAACTTGGAACAAGAAGGGCTGAGTGCAGGTTTGTAAAATCTCTTCTTTGATCCATTTGTAAAAGCACAGAACTAATGAAACTATGAAAGTAGTGATAAATCATCTTTTACAATTTTTTTGAGAATGGTAAGATTTTATAAGCCCTACTTGTGGGATTACATTGGGTATGCTGTTGTTGGTAAGATTTTATAAACAGAAGCAGTGAAGCACAAAGTTTGTGCGGAATCAGTTCCTTTACATCACTCCAGGACATTGAGAAAGTCTTAACATTTTATCTGCTGTGTACTGACTGCTGATCTTCTAGTCTACACCTAAAACCAAAAAAGATACACATTTATATTTCAATTTATGTATATTTTCATATTTGCTTTCAAAACATTGTTGATTCCTTTCTTTCCAAATCACCCACCATATGCATGAAGGAATGGTCTCCTAGATTTTTCTTTTCTCCTTCCCAATACCCTTACCAGTCCAACAATGCAGCATTTGTTTGATAGTCCTAATCACCCAGCTTAACTTGAAAAATGTTAAAAAACAGATTCCACATTTGAGTTGTGATGCTACAATGCAGAAATACATGATTAGCATCGTTATTCTTTTTCACACGGTATACATCTACTATAAATAGCTATGCCCCTTCTCTATTAGGACTGTTGTGTAAGAAGTACTTCATATGTGAGAGTCTAACAAAAACATGTCACCTTGTATGGTGCCCTGGATCTCCATATCTACCTCCAAGGCCAGAAGCTGTAATTCTGATCCAATGTATTGGAGGTCAATAGGAATTTGTAGCAGCTGCTGACTGAGAAAGTATCTTTACTTTGTGGAACCCATACTAGCCAGTCAACTACCATTTCCTGGAATTTGAAGCTTTCCGATATTTTGATGAGTTGTGAGAACCTATCGACTTCCTATCCACTTAAACAACAACAACATACTCAGTGTAATTCCACAAAGTGGGTCTGAGGAGGATAGAGTGTATGCAGACCTTACCCCTACTTTGGTGGTAGAGGTTGTTTTCGTTAGACCCTCAGCTCAATGAAAAGCAATCCAAAACAGTAGGACAAAAGAAATAATGGAAGTGAACAAGCTATCGCAAAATACTATAGAAATCATATGACAAATCATTTTGAACAGTAATTACAACAAAATAATACGACAAGCAAAATGCAAGAAACAACAAGTAGTAATAGAAATCGAGGGGCAAGAAACTACAAGAGTAATACTACGACTACTATTATGGAAGGAAAATGCTCTACTACCTATTAACCTTCTATCCTAATTCGTGTCCTCCACAACCTTCTATCTACAATCCTGTCCTTTGTAAGCTAAAATCGCGTGATGTCCCGTCTAATCACCTCTCCCCAATAATGCCAATACTTCTTTGGGCTACCTCTACCGCCCTTGGAACCATCCATAGACAACCTCTCACGCGTCTGCCATCCGTGCATGACCTCTTCACATGCCCAAACCATCTCAGCCTTGCTTTCTGCATCTTGTCCTCCACTGAAGCCACTCCTTACCTTGCCTCAGAATATTCATTTCTAATCCTATCCCTCCTAGTATGCTTACACATCCATCACAACATTCTCATTTTCACAGCTTTCATCTTCTGAGCGTGAGAGTTTTGAACTGGCCAACACTCCGCCCCACATAACATAGTTGGTCTAACTACCACCCTATAGAGCATGCCTTTAATTTTTGGTGGCACCTTCTTATCACGCAAGACTCCAAGTGGGAGCCTCTATTTAATCCACCCTGCACCAACATGATGTGTAACATCATCGTCAATCTCTCCATTTCCTTGGAAAATAGATCCAAGATCCTGAAACCTCATCTCTTTTTGATTTCTTGTGTATCAAGCCTTGCTCCACGCTAGCCTCATGTGTCATATTACAGAACTTGCACTCTTAAGTATCCTGATTTGGTTCTGCTCAACCAGAACCTTTAGACTCCAAGGTTTGTCTCCAAATCTTTAGTCTCGTCAATTAAAACTATGCCATCCGCAAATAAGATATATTGTGGCACCTCTCCTTGGATATGTCGCATCAATTCATCCATCACCAAGGCAAACAAAATCGGGCTAAGAGCTGATCTGTGGTGCAACCCCATCACAACTAAGAAGTACTTCGAGTCTCCTCTCGCTGTCCTTACCCAAGTCTTGGGATCCATCATGCATATTCTTGATCGCCCTAGTGTATGCCGCAGGGACCTTTTTTTTTTTGAGAAGGTAACATTTGTGTATATTCATTGAACCAGTGCATGGGTTGCACTAAAAACCATATTTACAGCTTGTCAAAAAGTAAGAAAACTGAATCTGAATCTGAATCCTAACAGGAACCTAGGATATCTATAATGGATTCAGTGTCCTCTAAATACATCTGCTTGCACCAGAAGCAAAAAAGCCTGATACAATTTAGTTTGATCTTTTGAAGGTCACAGCTCTTGCTCTCAAAACATCTAGCATTTGTTTCTGCAGGTACCCCTTTAGCCTCCAAGCATCTCCATAGAACCTCCCTTGGGACTTTGTCGTAAGCCTTTTCTAGGTCGACGATTACCATGTGTAAGTCCTTCCTCTTCCTATATTGCTCTACTAATCTCCTTGCAAGATGAATGCCTTCTGTAGTTAAGCGCTCCGACATGAATCCTAACTGGTTCACGATAATAGCTACACCCCTTCTCACCCTTATCTCCACAGCGCTACTTTCATAGTGTGGCTTAGGAGCTTGATACCCCTATAGTTGTTGCAATTTTAAGTGTCATCCTTGTTCTTGTACAATGGGATCATTGTACTCCACCTCCATTCTTCGGACATTTTTGCCGTCTTAAAAGCGACAATAAACAACTCAAGTAACCACCCTGCACCTACCCTACCTGCCGCTTTTCCAAAATTCCAACAGGATCTCATATAGCCCATATAGCCCAGTTGCTCTTCCCCTACACAACTACGAATGACACCCTTATCTTCCTCAATGTCTCTGTTCCCTTTTCGTCCAAGAGTTAATGAAAGTATGACTGTCATCTCTGGCTAATGAGAGTGCCTGCTCCACCAGTATTTTGCCCTCTCGTCCTTGATGCACTTCACTTGGTCTAGGTCACGGGTCCTCCTTTCTCTTGCCTTGAGACTAGCCCGTACAATTTCTTATCCCCGCCAATTCAACATACAGGCATTCAAAAGGTGCCGTAACCGCTAACTTCGCCTCTAATTCAACATACTTCCAATCCACTTCACCAAAAAAGAAGAAGAAGAAGAAGAAGAGAGCCTATCCACTTCCCAGTCATTGGAATTTCTCCTGAAACTCAACTCCCACCAGTACTAGAGCTACATTGTGCGGTAGTATGATGGGTATGCCTCACTTAATTATAAAGATCTGGAAATAATTCCTTCAGAGGGGAGTGTTATGCATCATGCCGAAAAAGAGTGTTGCCACCATTACCTACCAAAATCCGTGTTTCTACCAAGGTCATCCCAAAAACTTCTTATATGTTTCCAAACACTGACCACTCCATGTGCTGAGTTAGTAATTTTGGTACTCCAGTTATGCTCTCTTCCGTACTTTTTGGTAACCACCACTTTCCATAACGCTCCTTCATTTTGATTGAATCTCCATAACCACTTGAAGAGTAAGCCCCTATTCTGGTATCTATGATTTCTTACTCCCATTCCCCTTGCTTCTTGTTCAACTGAACTATCCTCCATTCAAATAGGTGGAATTCTTTTTCCTCGGAGAAACTCATTTCTTATAGTATCTAGTCTATTTTCCACCTTGGCAGGCATTGGAGAAAGAGACATTGTATGTGTAGGAAATGAGTCCAAAATACTATTAAGCCGACCTGTCTCCCAAAAATAAGTATTGTCTTTTCCATTTAGCGAGTCTTTTATCAGAGTTCTACAGGATATTCTTCCATATTACTGAAGCTTTGAATATTTTTTTGAAATGGTTAACATCACTGAAGCTTTGTAATTTGGCACCTAAAGGAAGTTCCAGATATACTGTTGGCAAGCTCCCACTGTTACGCTTAAGTATTGCTGCCAACTCTGTAAATCTGTACTACATTGACTGGAACCAAGTGACTCTTAGTAACACAAATTGAAGACCTGACACTCCTTCATCAGCCTCAGGAATTGAGCCCCTTCTGCCTCACATAGAACTAAGGTATCATCTGCATACATAATGTGGGTGATAAAATTGTCTGTTTGGCATCTATTATCTGAAGCCCTGGATCCACCTTGTTTGTTCTTCCACCTTCAACATACTACTGATACACTCCATAACAAGGATAACAAGAAAGGGGCATACGGGATTCCATTGCCTTAATCCTCTATAAGCCTGGAAAAAAGCCTTCCGGGCTTCCATTGATAATCAGAGAAAATCTCACAGTTGAAATACTCACTTGGATCCAGTTTATCCATTTATTACCAAATCCCAAAGCCTTTAAAAGATTAAATAGGAACTCCCAATTAACATGATTATATGTCTTAAGTCTAACTTGCAGATGACTCCAGGCTTCCCTTGTTTCTGTCTGGTGTCCGAAATTTCATCGGCAATTAACACGACATCCATGATTTGCCTCCTTTGATGAAAGTCATTTGAGTATCACCAACAAGCTTCGCCAATGGCTCTCTTCAATCTTTCAGTAAGGAGTGTGGCAATAATTTTGTCTAAGCTCCCAATCAAACTAATTGGTCCGAAGTCCTTCCAATTCTTCTGCTCCTGCTTTCTTAGGAATAAGAGCAATAAAAGAGGCACTGAAGAAGTTCTTCTCTAACTTCTCAGTATGATAAAAGTGAAATAAAGCCACCATTATGTCTTCCTTGATGATTAACCAACATTTTTGATAGAATGCCATAGAAAATCCATCCGTTCCAGGAGTCTCATCTCCTGCCAACTACTAATGACATTATAAACTTCTTCCTCAGTAAAAGTACCCTGAAGAAAGTCCTCCTGCACCGACAGGTGAGAATATTGTTTCGTTAAAATCCCAGGTATCCACCTTCCAAGACAGATTTGGTGGAAGTCCTTCAGTAAAGTAATTGCTCCAAAAATGTCCAACACCAATCTTGTCTCTTAAAATTTGCCAGATGATCTGGTTTATCCACTACTTTAATCTGGATGTACTTGGTTTACTGGGAAAAGAGTTCCCTTTCACCCTTACTGGCCAAGTGAAGAATTATCTAGCCAGATATAAACTCAAACGGTGAAGTTCTTTAGGTTAGTTGATAAAATTCAGCAGTGTTCTGAAACAGAGAGCATGTCTTTGGTCCCATCAGTATTTGAGCTAGTATGAGTTTGAAATTTGTGCTCCTTACTCTCTGTTGCGATCCTGCAATCAGGCTACCTGCTCTTACAACTGTCTTCGTGGGCTTCTCTTAAACTCCGCTTTGCTAATCATGATAATAGTGTTATAAATCTTTGTATCTCATACTCATAGATGCACCAGAACAGATGTCTGAGCACATCTAGTGGCTTATACTTGGATTCTCTTCTCCAGAATATAAATGTCTTGGGAGTTGGGACATAGATATTCTAGATACTTCCTTCTATTATGAATCACCCTAAATTTCCATTAGATTCATTCCGAAGCTTGCTTTGTTGCAGCAAGATGATCAGTCCGAGGGCTCGTTTGGTTCAAAACAAGGTTATCCCATGATTATGATCCCACCTCCTTTATGGGATAGATAACACCAAGATTCTTGTATAAGATTTATACAAGTGTTAGCTAATACCAATAACCAAACGGTGGATAAATGCAATCCCATAGTTAGTACCGGGATTAGTATAGTAATCCCGGTAACCAAGCAACCCTTTAGAAAATATTCTTTATACAGATGGAGTTGTGGTTCTTGCAAGAACTACAATTGTAAAAGTTCGTCTTATATGTCGTTGTTTACATGAAAGAGTGTATTATAGTAATTATAACAGACAGTAAAGTCCCATATCTGCGATTATTTTTGTACTCAGTTTGTTTTATGTGAACCAGGTTAGCTGCAAAGACGACTCAATTGGAGAGCGAGAAAATGCAGAAAGAGGTTCAAGTCCAAAAGCTTATGGAAGAGAATGTGAAGTTGACAACTCTTCTTGACAAGAAAGAAGCACAACTCTTAGCCATGAATGAACAATGCAAGGTTATGGCACTTAGTGCTTCTAATATTTAAATTCTATGAGATTTTCTATTCAATGAATGCATCTTTTGAGAGGAATATGCACCTATAGTTGTATTGTTGTATTTGCTCATTAGGTGGAGTGAAGTAATTCAACTATCCAGATGAACTTTGTTCTTAAATTTAATGGTAAATTGTGCTGCACCGTTTTTCGTGCATTGCCTTCTGTCTCTGTGCAACGACAACTATACCTCACTCCTAAACACGTTGGGTTTGGTTATATGAATCCTCATTTCTTCTTTTATCTCTCTGCGTTTTATAGACATGTGCTTTTAGTTCATAATGTTCTGCTCCTACCTAAGGAGCAAGGACCATGACTAGCTATACGTCCGATTAGTGAATATCATGCGTGATCACTTCACTACACCAAAAATGATCTTACCGGCAATAGCTTAATTGCTGCTAAATATGTATTTTTAGCGACAATTAACACTCTTTGTAAATATCTCTAAAGCTTATAGGGACATTGGATCTAATGATAATTAATTAATGTTGGTAAAAACTTTGGCACTCTTTGTTAATGTGTATATTTATTGCTGCTAAAAGTTATTTTTGCTGTAGTGCTTGCAACAACGGTTTGTTCTTGTTGAAGAAAATATATGTCGAGTAATGAGTTCTCGATAGAGGCAAAATCTAGGATATAGAGTGTGTGAGTTCAGAGTGAGTGTGGTCTTATTATATGGATACGAGTTTGCTAAGTGCTTTGAAAATAGATGATATACAGAAATTGAAATAATCATATGTTTATTTTATTTATGTCTATTTTTTAAAAATGTTTTTTGTGTGTGCATTTTAGGATGTATATATAAAAAACTAAATCACAACATTTTGACAAATATTAAATTTGAATCCATTATTCCTAAAGTAAAATGTGTTCAATGCTAAAGACCTTAATGTTGAACTCGTCATTTTTAACTTCTAACTTTTATTTATATAAAATTATACCTGGTGAAATAATTGAATAACACGCAAGCTGGTTCCACTTTGGGCTGGCTAGCAATGACAACCTTCTTAACGAGGTCATTTGCACTTTTGTCCCTATTTTGTGTTTGTCTTTAATTTTTTTTTCTTACGGGCAATATTTTTTTTTTTTTAGCAAAACGTAAGTTTATATTTTCATATCATAATATGAGTGATTGCCTCTTTATCTTTCTTTTGTTTGGGTTTCGAGTCAGCCAAACCTCTTTAAGCTTTTGCTATTCAATTTTCACCCTTGTAGGCTTGTAACATTAGTTAATCAAGTCTTCGAGCAATATTAAATTTGTCTCTGTGTGGCTTAAATGGTAAAAAATTGAGTTGTGGATCAATCATTGATACTTGCATGAGGACAAATTGCCTATATTAAAAGTGAAGCCTAAATTTGAATCTTATGAGTATGAAATTTTATTCCTTTTTAAGTTAATGTATTCTAAATTAAAATTTTCTATATGTTCAAATTTATTAAGACAAATATAAAACTTAAATCAAAGTTATTGAGCTCGATCGGTCAAACTGTAAGCTATACACTAGCTCTGCCTTTGCTTACATTATACATTCTTGGATACGATACGAGATGATTTATATATGCACCGTGCTACTATTATTTTTTTTAGGATTGTAGCATTAGTTGCATGTTGTAATGTTGGAATGCTCTTTTTAATAGGTACAAAAAGCTCAATATAGCTAAGCTGTGGAGGTTGTTGATCATGATGGATCTAAACATGGAGGGTTAATTAGAGTACATAAATACATGATAAATAATATAATTAATGTTATCAAATAAATAAAAAGAACATGTGATGTTTTCTTGTACATGAACAAGCTCATCTTAGAAAAGGAAAAAAAAAGGTACATTCATCTCCTTTTTTATCACTACATCACTGTCAAAATTAATCTCCCATGACCTGCATAACACTAGTCCTTTTCATTACTTTGATCCCTATGTTGTGGATAATGTAAACATGTTTTTTTTGCTAGACAAAATCAAATTGAGATAGATTCAAAATTTGGATATTAGGAGTCGTTTGATCGCTGATTAGAGTTACGCATGCAAGTATATTAGCAATGAAGGGATTACTTATGAGTGAAAAATATGTATATTAATGCAACTCATGCAAGTATTAGTTATGCGCATAGATAAGTTATTCATGTATTAGTTATTCCACTTTCTATATATCCTCCATAAAATAATACATAAATTTTCTCATAACTTATACATATATTAGTTATGCGGATTCGGAATTTCTAAATTGTGAACCAAACATTGTATTGATTTTATACATGAACAACTTATTTTCAGTCTACCTACCAAACGTCGTATAAGTTATACAAAAAATTAATACATGAATAACTTGTTTCTTATTCAACTATGGTTCCAGTTCAGGATTCTACATAATTTATTTGATTTACTTTGTTTCAATTCAATTATATGTACTTATTTCGTGAATGTTCTCAACCAATGAAGTGTCGTTTGGTAGAGTGTATTAGCAAAAATAATGCATACATTAACTTTGGGTATTAGTAATATCTTGTTTGGTACACTTGTTCATGTTATATATAACCAATGTTTGCATTAGTTATACAATATATAGTGTATTAGGCTGTGTATTACTAATACCATGAATTCTTAGGTATTAGTAATGCAAAGAGTTTTAACTTTAACGTACGCATTAGCATGGTTAAAGACCCCATTGCCCCTCAATTTTTTTGCATCTTTTCCACCGTAATTATGAAGAGTATTTTTGTAAATAAATATTTTTATGTAATGCATGTTATTTTTAATACACTAAACTAACAATGCATAAGAAATTATATGTATAATTAATGCAAACATTACTAATGCAAGCAGTACTAGTACACTCTATTTAGTATTATTTTTATACACTATCAAGCGATCTGAAATAGAGTTTGAGCTAAAACTACTGAATTCGTATGCATGTGACTTTGAATTTCCATTACATTGTTGTACTCCTGACATTATTGTTCTGGAAACAAAGTACGTAATGGTCCATCTTTCTCACTTCTAATTAATTTGGTGTGTTCACATTAGCTGTGGTCTAGTTGTTTCATGTCCATTGTCTAAAATTGCCTGCAATTTAATTAGGAGGAATTTAGGGTTCCTAATGTGTGAAATATTTTTGAAATTGTAGCATGAGTCTGCTTGGTTCTTTGCATCTAGTTTTGAGGTCGTAATTATATTTTATTTTTAAAAAAAATAAAATTCAAGTGTTTCGTAATTGAACCTTAAACCCCTTTCATATGTCGGGAGTTACCGGTGTACATACTAAGCGTTGCTTTGCTATGGTGCTGTCGAAGAAAATACTATATTAGAGATGGTGCTAGAGAAAATACATTCCGTGCTTTTAATCCAACTTAAGCCGAAAGAACTTATTCTATGATCATCACTAACTAATTTTGGTCTCAAATCTTCGAAGTTACTTTTTTCAATAAACTTTGGTTACATTTCGCTATGTGATTTATACCAGTAACCAAATAATGGATGGGTGCTCTTAGAGTAGTCAGTTTAGCTTTGAACCTACATGCCTATAACTTCATGCTTAGCCAAATCCTTAGGATCTAGAGTGGGTAACATACTTAGCTAAATTGTCACGTCCCAATTCTGAGATAAGACGGGATCGATATTTGATATCTTTAATTTTTATTTTGTTATGTATTATTAGCTATACGAGTTTCTAAATTATTAATTAAACATCGTATTAATTTTATATATGAATAACTTATTTCCTATCTACCTATCAAATGTCGTATAAATTGTACGAAAATTAATACATGAATAACTTATTCGACTATAAATTCTAGTTCAGGATTTTACCGTAATTTATATGATTTAATTTGTTTAAATTCAATTATATGTACTTATTTCGTGATTGCTCTTAACATACAAATAGAGTTCGAACTAAACTATTGAATTCACATGCACATGACTTGAATTTCCATTTGCTACATTGTTGTACTCCTGAAATTTATGCCCACGTCTCAGTTTGTGACTTATTCATTTAGGTCACATTATTGTTTTGGAAACAAATTAAAGTAATGGGCCATCTTTCTCATTTCTTAATAATTTGGTGTGTTAAAAAATTTCGTCTCATTAGCTGTGGTCTAGTTGTTTCATGTCCTTTGTCTAAAAGTGCCTGCAATCTTGGAGGAATTTAAGGTTCATGATGTGTGAATTATTGAGAATGTAACATGAGACTGCTTGGTTCTTTGTATCTAGTTTTGGTGTAGCAGTTATATGGATTCATCCTTTTTTTAAGGGTTTCGTAATTGGATTTTGGACTCCTTTCATATGATGGGAATTGTCAGTGTATTGGGTGTTGCTTTGCTATACGCCACATGATGCTACTGTAAACATACTTTATTTGAAGATGGTGATGGTGCAAATACATTCCATACTTTTAATCCAACTTTAGCCGAAGAACTTATTTGTTGATTTGTAAATATCTAAGTGACATCAGATATGATTTTGTAGGATTTAAATTGATGTGGAATAATCAAAATCTGATATGTTGTTAAATAGTGTAGGATATTAGATCAAATAAAATCATTCCTTGATTCTCAATTTTCCTAGAATCAAGGGATCTTATTGGCAGTTAGTTTATTTTTCTGTAATATAAGTATCTCTATGGATGAATTAGAGTGTACAATTTTGGTACCAAAACTTACGTGGTATCAGAGCATGTAAAGGTCTTGAGATCAAATCTCACCGCCACCCAAATCAAAAACAAATTTCACGTGCATGGCCCCATGAAAAAGAATCAGGTCCGTATGTGAGGGGACATGTTGAGAATATAATTAAATAATAAAAATGTGTTCTCTCTAACTGCTTAAGCTTTTAGATAAGATAGTCACACTTCAACATGGTCAGATCAATATTATTCTTGTAACTACAACACCATTGATTGGGCTACATCATTCAACGACATCAATAGAAGTTGAGAGTTCTATTAAAAAAGTTTCGACAAAGACAACAATGAAGTCATAGTGTGAATTCTACAATAAAATACGGACACACTTGTCAGACTTGTTGTAATATCCGTGTAAAACCGCCTAGATGGAACACAAAAGGGTAGATAACCATGGTAGTCAGGCCTTTTATTGTACCATCGAAGAATCAGGGCAGCGATCTTCTCTAGAAATGTCACCATTCACTAAGGAACAAATAGAAAT